CCGCAAGCAGCAGCACTGCGATGCTGAAGGAGCTGAAGGAGCTGTTGGAGGCCGCCTTGAGCTGCACGAGATCAAGCCAATTGAGAAGTATCTCGGCCTGGAGATCGTGCGCGACAGGCCGGTGAGGAAGCTCTGGCTGCACCAGCAGAGCTACATCGACAAGCTGCATAGGAACTTTATCGACGAGGAGCAAACCGGGCAGATCTCTAAGACGCCAGTTTCCATCGACGCCTACGCCGAGCTGACGTTTGACGATGAGGATGCTCAGGAGCACGAGGAGGAGGAGAACCGGCGAAAATTCGGCTCGCTGCAGTTTGCGGCGACGACGACGAGACCGGACATCGCCTTTGCGTGCACAAGCTGGGGAGCAGCCTGACGATGAGGAGTGACCAGCACTGGTGTGAGGTCAATCGTTGCCTCGTTTACATCGTTGACAACCTTGACACTGCCTTGGAGTTCGGCGGTGGACCAGAGTCGCTAGTCGGCTACGTGGACGCCGACGACGCGGGCGACAAGCAGAACCGGACGAGCACGGGCGGCTACGTGTTCGTCTTCGGAGGGGCCACTGTCTCCTGGTCAAGCCAGCGCATCAAGTGCGCGACGCTCTCGTTGACCGAGTCGGAGTACGTCGCTGCCACAAAAGCCGGTAAGGAGGATCGACGACTGCGCTTCTTCCTTGTAGAATTGCAACTACTCGTCGCTGGGTCGTCGACCGTCCTTCAGGTGGACAACAAGTCGGCCATCACGGTCGCTGAGGGCTTGGGGCTGAAGGGCAACCTCGAGCACATGGAGCGACGCTAAGCCTGGCTACAGCAGATGGTGAAGCGCAGGAAGTCCGTGCTGAAGTACATCCCGACTTCTGAGCAGCCGACCGACATCCTGAGGAAGGGGCTGCATTTTCCGGCCTTCAACCAGTGCTCCGACACAATCGGCCAAGTGCGCCTGGCCGACGTCGGCGACGGCGACGATGACGTGCAGCAGTAGGTGCCCTGCCCTTATGCACAGCTGGTGCGGTGACAGCGTGCTGTATGTTGGGTGCACGCTGGCGACGAAATTTTCTCCGTGTAGTACTGCCGTGTTGGTTGGGTGCTTAAGCGTGAACGCGGTAGGGGAGTGTCAACGGGAATTGGGTGTTGGCCTCGTCCTCGCTTGGGCGAAGCTAACTTCCTGGTCGGGTGCACGGGAGAAGCAGCCGATCGCCCGCAGTGGTCGACGCCAGCCTGGGCGAGCAGCTCGACGAAACTCGTCGAGCTGAAGGGGACCGCTGCGATGCTGCTGTCGACGAGAAGTCGGCGGCTGAACTCGACGGGGCAGGTCGACGAAGGTGGTCGTCGGCCTGCGCAGAACTGTCGCGGAGGCGTCGACGAGGGGAGCTCGACGACTGCAGATGAAACGAGTTGGTCGACGGACCGGCCGTCGACCAGGGTAGTCTTCGACGGAAGTCGTGGTTGACGAGGGAGGTTGTCGACCAGGGCGCGTGCTGAGTGGTCGACCAGGTCGATCAGGTTACCTCTTCGACGAGGTTCCACGGGGGCGCGCGAACGTCGTCGAGGCTGCGATGGCGAGGGCGACCTCAAGCTGGTACCCCTAGGTCGACATTTGGAGCATCAGGGGCGATCGTCGGCACATGGCCGACTTGGCACCCGCGCGACGGTAGAGAACGTGCTCGACCGTCGATGCGCACCTAGGAAGTGGGTGCGCACCTGCGCTACTGTCACCTGTGGCTGCAACGATTGCAAGCCGCCTTGGTGGAGCGTTGGTGAGCCGCAGACTTACTATGTTGGTGGATCGCTCTTCTGTAACGCAGGCACGGTGCATCTACGCGACGTTGGCAGACTGTCGACCATGCTGTGCTGGCGGTCGACCAGGCTGCGTGCTAGGTTGCTAGGCTCTGATGTAGTCATTGTTGCCTTTGTGATCATTCTGTAATCCCAACTTTGCTAATGAAACTATTGCCAATGCTTCCCGTGGATATGTGTGTAGAGAGAACACGAGCAAACGCTAAGGAACGCTACGATCACTCACACAACCCATGCCTTCCCCGTAGTCCAACTACCGTTGTAAAGTGACTCTCCGTAGTCCATGTTTCATCGGTCTATTCGTCATTGAGCGCGCACTAGGTCCAGTTGCATACCGTCCTTGCCTTCCCTGTGAGGATCGAGGATCGAGCTAAGAAAAGTGGGTTTGAATTCAATGCCCCACCTTGGTACAACACGAGGCCATATATAGTCTCGACACAAGGCATGTAACTCAGGTGTTACGCGAATGTTCTGAGGGTCGCGAAGCGTCCCGAACAGAACCTTCCCGAACTCGGTAGAAAGCAATTCGGTGGGAACCGAAAAGGCTTGAGTTCGGTATAAGTAACCTGGTTCGGTGCTATAACTATAATAACATATAGGAATGCACCTAACCTAGGAAATCAAGCATAAATATGCAAGATAAAATAAACCTAAGCTAGTCATGCATAATGAAGTCCAAGCAAGCTAGCAAAGCCAGCATAAGCCATCGTACTTTCACATTCCCGCTCAATTCTGTATGCACCTGTCATTCCACGTGGCCCTCCTTCGTCCTTACACTGATCCTAACGCCATCTTCTCAGGCCGTGACCGTACTCCACTGCTAGTAGCTGTTGACACCGACGAGTCCGACTATCACATCGAGCACATCCTCGGACTGTCGTCGTCTTCAGGGAGGTGTCTCTTTGACTTCTTGGTTCGTTGGCATGGTTACGATGCAATCGATTACAGTTGGGTTCTTTCGTTCTCGCTGTCTCTTGACAGCGCTTGCCTTAGAGCGTATCTTCAATCTGTAGGTGTCGCGGACGTCGCCTCCTTGGGAGGGGGGTAGCGTTACACGGTTTAAGGGTATTTTCCCTAGACAATGCCCCCAAACTCATCCCAACCTTATCTTCATCCAATCCCTTAAAGATTTCCTGGATTTCCCATCTGCCACATGACACTCCATTTTTCTCACTTTCCAGTTTTTAGTCCCACGAACTAGTTTCCAACGTTCTCTCTTGCATGTTGTATCAACCTTGCTGGTATTCACCAATATCAACTTTAACCCAGCTACTCCTTCGCCTACTTCGCAAGCACATTCTTCGTCAAAGTCTTCCGCCTCGTTTCATCCTCGACTTAGTATACCCCGCTATTCTTTAGAGGATTTAGGCCTAATAAATTTCCATTGTCCTGACTGAAATTGTACCAAGCCTGAAGCTGAAAGGCCCGAATTTCTGCCAAACCTAAGAGCGTGGAACATCCTTATGAACAACTGTTTGGTCAGCTCTTTGGTCGAACGTTTCTCTCGTCAATCGTTTGCGACGGCTTTCGTCAGGTAACACGCAAAACCCCAGATTGCAAATCGGAAACACTTGGTCGCCCAGAAACATGGAGTCGCGATGGTACACGAATAGCGCCGAATTCGTCAAACACCGTAGTGCAAATTGGATTGCAGCACGTCACTCACGGCAACATCTGGTTGCTTGTCGCGTGTTTCTCCTGACGTCGCCACTTCTTGTCCTATCCGCGAGGTCCAAAATGTGGGGCGACCAACGAGCATCTTGCAGTCTTCGTCACTCCGTTACGTAGGTCAGTGGCGATGGTCGCAACAGTGGCTGCTGTCGCAGTTGGGCGCCCTGCCTTGTTCAAAAGGATGTTCCACTTACAAATGCCAGACCTGGGGATTCGAGCCAACACCAAACAACAGTCCTGGTGAGGAAGGTGTCCTTGTCCAACCAAATGCGGTCACCGGCAGCCACAAATTCCCACTTCTCTACAAAACACGAATCATTGCACCACGTCCTCCAGGCTTTATCAGCTTGCTCTACATGCCACTTCACGAGATGCGGTGTGGATGAACTGAATCAATCGAGTGCCTTAGGATTCATTTTCTGAAAAACGGCTGCGCGCTACGATCTCAGAGCGATAAAAATTTACGAAGATATGGTCCTTTTTTTAAATCCATCGTGGCAAGACACATGCCACACCTTTGCTCGACCCTTGTGTAATAGCCAATGCGCGTGGCCAATCGGGTTTTGAATAAGACAACGATTCTTTGAGCTGACTCGACAAGCTGCCCGAGACACTGTAGCAAAAGTCTGCACGTTGTCAGGCGTTTGACAGTCAGCCTCGCGTCTGACGACGCATGTGCGACGGTACGACCCTTCTTCTCGCCCAGACTGGTCGCATGATCGCACCACATTTCACTCCACGTGTGCTTCAAATCTTCCTTCCGCCTCAACTCCAGCCCACCCTACTCCAACCCAATCAACCTTTCCCAAATCAGCCTCACCGACACATCTCTGTGTCCGACATCCGTGAAGATGACGTAAAAAGCTCCTCGATTTCTCACCAATCCATTTTCTTGCGAGTTCCGCTCCTCACACTCGCTTCTGCCAATTTTCAACTACTCGAAGCGAGGCAAGGCAATCGGTGAGGTGCGCACACAGCGCTGCCGATACTCGGCTCCGTCCTTACTGTACCACACTTGAGCTCGTAACGGCGCACTCGAAACAACGCCGCATGTAGCGCAATGCGTTGTCCCCTCCCCCTCCCCCCTCTTCCCTCTCAACCTACTGTGCTACATGTTTCCTTTTCCTCTGCAACCAAAGCCGTCTTTTCCGGTGGAGCTGTCGTTTCATCCTTTTGGGCCGTCCAAAACACCCGTGAGGTGGACCGGAATGGAGATAAAAGCAGCTGCTTATTTCTTTGCGTCTCGTCGTCAATGCGGTTCACACGTTCTCGCGCGCTTTACTTTTCTCAGAGTGCGCCAGAACGATTGCGTCGTAACGCTTTCACGGGGCGATCGAACGTCAGTCCCCGATTCGTTTTTCAGGTCCTCCCGTTGAATCCACGCCGCCGACTTGAGTTAGCCTGAGTACCGCAATTTCCGATAATAACACCCTAGGAGTTCCAAGCTAGGTCGTTAGGAGAGCTTTTCTCCGGCTAGTTCCCGATCGGGTTCAACTCGGAGCCAGCACCGAGTAGCGCTCTCAGCTGATCATGGCGGCCTTCCCGGGAGCGTCAGCACCGGTGGTGGGGGAGAACATGACGGATATCGTGCGAGCTGATGGGCATGTATGGCTCAAGTACGGGCAGAAGAACATACACAACACCTCCATCATACGGTACGCTTGAGCGTCTCTCTGGCTGCATTTGCGGCCCAAATGATGATGAAGCCGTCGTTTCTGCGCAGCGCACACTTTCCGTATTTCTTTCATCATAGTGATGTCTGATCCGACGATTCCTCTCCGCATCCCATGGCTGCTGCAGGTGCTACTACAAGTGCTATTCCTCCAAGAACAAGCCTGCCTGCCGAGCGAAGAAGACTGTCGACTACGACCGCCGCCTCCCCATCTTATCCGCCACCACCCTAACCAACTACACAAACCGCTCTCACAACCACCCGACTCCTCTGATCTCCCAGGGCTCCTGTCCTTCCAACGCTGCAGATTCGAGCTCCGTCGCGCAGGAATGCTCCCCCAACGCCGAGTTGTGCGCTGCGAAATCGAGCTCCTGTAACCCTAGTACTGCCGTGGTTGCCAACCACAACTCGCTCGCTTCCCCACCAAACAGTGCAGGAACCCGCCCTGAACCGTCCGCACTTGCAAGCAGCGCTCCCTCCAGAGGGGAGCTCCCCCGGGGAGGATCCGCCAGCTCCGGAGGCGTGGTTTCCTCCTCAGTTGAAGCCAGCTCCGCTCGGCCTGACTCGCTGTCGGATGCTGGTGCCGAGACGATTGTGGCAAATCTCTTGCCACAAAGCTTTGCATTCAGTGGCAGCAGCGAGTCAGCTGCTCTGGCGCCGTCACCTGCGATCTCGTCTCTGTTCGACTCCTGCGAATCGCTGTCAACTGAATCCGGGAATCTGAGCCACTTTTTCGCCGAAAATCACTCTCTGGGCGGGCGCTGGCCATGTGCCCAGAAGAGGGTCCGTCTGACGCCCTCTAACGAGGCAACATCTACTGAGGACGTGTGCTACTCAGCAGGCTACCACAGCCGCCCCAGCAGTAGGGTTTTTGAGGCACTGTCTGCTGATCTGGGTCAGACGTTTCACCCTGAGCCGTGCAGCCCTCCCACAGCTGATGCTGCTGCAGATGACGTTTCATTTGGCCTTCCCCTCACAGGCATTTCATTCGAGGATGGCCTTGCAGCGGCGAGTCCAGAAGAAGCAAGACCACGAGGGCTGGCGCATGCAGACATTTCTTTCGAGGATTTCCTCTCTGAATTGTCTCCAACTGAATTGTGTTCCGATGATTTCTGGTCTGAGGAGCCACCTTGGCTGGAAGCAGCGGATGTGAGTCCTTCGTGGGGAGCATCGGGCAGGTCAGATGGCAGTTCTTCTGATGATAGCCAAGAGCCCCACCGGATTCACTTGAAGCGCAGTGCTTCAGCCATGGTGACTGGTACCACTGAGGCGGGAATTCTCGATGGAAACAACACCGGGCATGCTTGTGTGCCCTGGCCCATGCCAAAATCAAATAGTGCGCACAGTGTGTTCAGCTTTCTGGGTGGGGGTGACACCTTGAGCGTTTCTGACTTGATGAAGCACCTGTAGTAACCAGGGGTTGTTGCAGATAGACAGAGGGTCCCCCCTAAGTGTTTTTTTCGTGAGTGCTGACCGCGAAAACTCTTGGGGCTCACGTTTTTGCACGAGTTCATGTTGCAATCTTTCGCATATCTTTGTATGATTGTTGAAATAAACCCCTTTCTGTGTACCGTACCTTCCTGGATAAAAGACCCAGGGCAATGTATAGATATCGATCAATAAAACTTATGGGTGACGTTATGGCAGACGGTGTAGAATAGGGGTGGTGTTCCACTCAAACGCATCTTTTGTCTGGGCGATGTTTACCTCCCCAGCACGAAGGAACCCACACCTCGAGTGCGGTGCCGTGTTCCCAAATCCAAAGGCAAATGCCAAGGGGACAGACAAAGTCAGATGTGGGCGCAGCGCCTCACGTCTGCGCAACCGAACTGACAATCACCAAAGCGGATATCGCAACCGTCTACTCAAAGCATCCAAACCCACAGGCCGTTCGATCTGGCCAGGCCGCTGAATTCAATCAGCACGAGAGGGTGAGGTACGAATTCACTGTTTGCGGTGGTGTGTGATGTTGTGAGTGTCTCTTACGAATACGTGCGGTTGGGTAGGTTTTCAAGCAAACATGAGCCGCCTGACACGTGCTCTGACTTCACCATCACCCGCTCAGCTCCACCCTGAAACACACGCCTCATACGGTCATACCCCAACCCCAACACTCCTTTTGAACTCACCTCCTTCCCATCCTCCTCGAGTTCATCATCATCGTCGCATCGCTGTGACAACGGATTCTGGCACTCCGTTTCCTCCGCAGCTCAATCATCCCACTCTTTCGATTCCCCGATCTTGAGCCACTTTGTGTCGCTGAGGCTACTCTGCATTTTGAGATCCCTCGCTCAACAACACAGAAGCCTTGTTACGGACAGCACGCGTCAGTACGATGGAACGACCGTCACACGCTCCCGCGGATCGCTATCGTGACCGTGAGTGCGAAGAGCTTTTTGCGGAATGCACTTCCACCACGGCCCTCCTGGACGACGGCACGCTCTCCCTCGTCCTCTCCTTCCTCCCCTCGCGCTTCGCCATCTCCTCGGCCGCATTAGTCTGCCGCCGCTGGTGCCGCGTCGCGCTGCGCGTGTGCGTGCGATCGCTCCGACCGTCGCCCTTTTCACTCGAGAGCTTAACTCCGGAATCTGAGAGAATCCTTGGTAGTTTCGACTCCGAAGCGCAGTTGCTGGAGTTGACGACGCGATTCGCCGCTACGCTTCGATCTCTGGAGATCCGTCCCGGCGCGAGAAACTTAACCGCCGCTGACGACGATAAGCTGACTCCCCACGGCATTGTGCGAATCCTTATCGCCTCGAAGCTTGAAACCCTATCTCTGATCAGTTGCGTCGAGCAGAACCGCCCCGTAGTCGACTCGCTACCCATGAGCAGTTCACAGTTCGCGACGGTGGTGTTACCAGCCCTGCCACGTCAGCTCAAGCGCCTCGATCTCCGCTCGGACCACTTTCTCTGCCCTGCCGCGTGCGTACACCTGCTGGGGTTCCGGTCGAGCCCGTGTGATGACCAGGAGATCACACGGCCGAGCCATGATCGCGTGTGGGGCCACGCGGACGGCATTCAGCTTGCCGGCTCGTCCAAAATCCCACCTCCGCCACCCCCACCCGCTCCGCGTGCCCGTGCGCCGCCCCCTCCTCCTCCCCCTCCACCTCCCCCACCTCCTTCCGTTCCTCCTCCTACTGCTTCCGCCCCTCCTCCCTCTACCTCGTCCCTCGTGCCTCCTACCCCGCCGTCTCCCCCATCTCCTTCCCCGCCTCCTCCCTCGCCTCCTCCCCGTCCGTGCACCTATCGTCCCCTACCGCCTCCCCCTCCACACTCCCCGCTCCCCCGACCGCCTCCCCCGCCTCCCCCCATCTGGAACCGTCCGCCGCAGCTCTCCTTCCTGTCTGACCTCCACCTGAACACCATCGCCGCCTCGCTCCCTAACCTCCGCGTCTTAAACCTCGACATGTGGCCAGCACGCTCCCGCACCTGACGGCGCTCTCGCTCTACTCCGACGCCGTCACGTGGGAGTCGGCGTCTCTCCTCCTCGCGCTCCTCCCGTCACTTCAGCGCCTCTCCCTCGTGTCCGGCGCGCTGGTTCCGCGCGCCTTGCCCCAGCCGGGGCGCGCAGAGGTGGGTGCAGCAACAGCGCGGGATACCTCAGCGAATGCAGCCGCTGATCCAGAAGCAGCAGCATGGTGTGCAGAAGCAGCGCGGTCAGATGCTGCTCTATCTCTCTTCGCCTCGCTCTCCCTTGCCTCCCCCAGTGCTGGCGACCCCTTCTGGTGCCCATCAGGGTCGTCCCTAGCGCCCTGCCTCTCCTCCATCCGCCTGTGCCTCTCCCCCCATCGCTCCGTCGCCTGGGATCAGCCTCCTGCCTGCTCCCTGCTGCTCGCCCCGCTGCTCGCTGCTCCGTCACTAGAACAGAGAAGGGAACCACCTGCAGCAGCAACAGCAGCGGTAGCGGCGGCAGCGGGGATGGTGGTGGCGGTGGCATCTGCAGCTGCAGCGGCAGCGGCAGTGGCAATGGCGCCAGCTTTTCTGTCCCACGTGCATCCTCCCCTTCTCTGCGCTCCTTCCACGCTCACAATTCCCCCGCGTTCACATGGCAGGCTGTGAGCCACCTGTTCCGCCACCTCACCACTCTGGATTTGTCCCAAACCGACGTGCTGCGCCCCCCACCCCTCCCCTACGGCGAGCCACAGAGGAGCGAGGAGTCGCTGTGCTGGGCCATCCGCTGCCTGCCTCTCCTGGAACGCCTCGCCCTCCCGCTGGCGTCAGATGCTGTTCTGCTGGAGATTTCCCAGTCCTGCCCGAGCCTCACCGCCTTGCACGCCCAGCCGCTAGCTCGCTTCATCCCTGTCGCCTCTGCTGTGAGAAGTTCCTCTAACGAGTTCCTCCATTATTCCTCCTCCTATGCCAGGGCCTCCGTGCGTGTTACCCTTCCTCCGGTGCAGTCACGAGTGACTGATGCTGGGGTGGTGGCTATTGCAATCGGATGCACGTGATTGGTGCAGCTGAGTCTGGGCGGCTGTGTGAACGTGGGGCCAGTGGGGCTGCGCCAGCTGGCGAGGAGATGCGGGCGGCTGGAGGTGCTGAGGCTGGCGCGCACGCGGGTGGACGATGTGCTGTCGTGGCGGCACTGTTCGGCGACAGCTGGCACGGCGGCGGTGTGGGAGTCGGTAGGGATGCTGCGGTTGGTAGTGTGGCTGGGGCTGCCACAGCGGCTGGGGCTGCCACAGCGGCTGGGGCTGCCCCTGATATCTCACCTGATTCTGACGCCACTGCTGGTGCTGGCAGTGCTTACGGTGCGCCACTGCAGCTGCAGCTGCCTCGGCTCCTTCTGCTGGACCTGTCCGGATGCCCGGGGGTGACTTCTGCCCTCCTGCTCGCGCTCTCAGCAGCAGCGAGGGAGCATGCTGGCAACGATGAGAGGAGCAGAGCTGATGGGTTAGCTGGGGTACGTGAAGTGGTGTAGATAGGTTGGGAGTGTGAGGAGGAGAAGGCACTCACGGCGGTTGAGGGTGTGGGGCATGAGATAGGAAGGAAGGAGGTGCGAGGATACTGTGGGTTGCAGGATTTCAGGCTGCTCGCCAGCTGGTGTCTCCTGAAGTGATTGCTGGAGATGGGTGGAGGGGGAGCGAGGAAGGTCGAAGGGAGGGTGTGTTGGGGGATGGAGGAGATGGTGGAGGAGTGGGTTCTGGGTATGTGGATTTGAGGCTTGTTGCAAGGGAGGTGGGGATGCTGTTGCCCAAGTTGGTGGTTACGGCTAGAAGGACTGCGGAACATGTTTTGCCATGGGATGGATTTTTTGGAGAGCGGAAACTTGAGCTGGATAGTGACGATGATGAGAGTGCTTATGCACGTAGTAACTATGCATTGTGAATAGCGAGAATACCTGCTTGAAGAGCACCTTCATCATGTTGGAAACAATAAGTCGCTAGAGCGCAGCGGAAGCTCTAGGAATTAACGACGTCCCTACGGCGGGGCAATGGTCACTCAGAGGTAGCTCTCCTAGCTTGTAACTTGGTGCCAGAGCAGCGGTCGAGGGTAGTGTTGCGATCAGAAGTTGATCGTTGCCAGGATCTACTCGGGAAGGTTCGCACACAGAGAAAATGAAGTTGGTGGGCCCTTGACCTCAATAGCAGAGTGAATGTAAAATGCTTTGAGATGAATAAAACATGCAAATACAGCAAATATAAATATGAGTACAGGGAAGACGAAACGACCTAGCTAGTCATGTACTCTAAGGGGTACATTCCCTTATTTGAATTCATTCCCAACCGTGCGGCGCGTACAGTTGCGAAACTGTTCCCGCCGAAACCATCCTGCCTGCACCTGCCCGATGCCATTTACTCCGACGGTCCAGATGCCCCTTAACCGTCTGGCGCTTCGAGTCAACCCTGACTCTTCGTGTTCGCTCTCGATACTGCATGCTTCTTTTTGCTGCGGTGAGGAGTGCACAGTAAGAAACAAACATTACTATTCGTAACACCCCCCTTCACTCCTGGCCGTAGCTCGACTTGACCTGCTTGACCACGCCGCTGAGTTCGGAGCAGTGCTGGTACTGCTGGCGTGGCAGTGGCTTGGTGAGGAAATCTGCTGCCATGTCACCGGTTGGACAATAGGTCAAGTTGACTTTACCCTTGTCCACCTCGTCCTTCACGAAGAAATACCGCAGCGCAATGTGCTTGGTGCGGTTAACGAAACCAGGTTTGTTCGCGATCCGAATCGCGCTCTGGTTGTCGCAGTGAAGACGAAAGGTGGGCGAAGCTGGAATTTTCGCCTCCTGCAGGAGTTCCTGCAAGTAGAGTCCTTCGCGAACTGCTGCGGTTGCTGCGATGAATTCCGCTTCGGCTGATGACAGGGCAACCAGCTCCTGCTTCTGCGAGTTCCAGGAGATTGGTCCCGTTGGTTCGAGTCGGAACAGGAAGCCAGTCCTGGACCGTCGATTGTCGGGATCTGCTGCATGATCGGCATCCACGTAGCCGATGAGATTGAAGGGTGGGGTCGGTGCAGTTGAGTAGCACAACCCAATCTTTGGCGTCAAGACGAAGAATTGCAGTGCGCGCTGCAGGTCCAGAAGATTCTCAGCCGTTGGTTTGCGTGAGTACTGGGCCAGCTGGCTTGCGATGTAGGAGAGATCTGGCCTGCAGGTGACAGAGGCGAAGAGCAGGCATCCCAACTGCTGCTGGTAAGTCTGAATTCCAGCAGGGGATAGGGCTTTGTTGTCAGGTTTGTGGTTCGGTCCAGGGGTTCGGTAGGGAGTTGAGAGAGGTGCAGGTGAAATTTTGAATCGCTTCCCTAGCTCCTCTGCGTACTTAGCCGCTGAAAGGTGAATGGCCTCAGGCGCGTAGGAGATGTTGAGGCCTAAGAACTGCTTCACCTCATAGTTGCATGTGATGTCGACGCGCCCCGCCAAGGCTTTCTCGAACTGCTCGAGTAGCTCGTTGTTTGAGCCTGTGTAGAGCAGGTCGTCGACGTAAACCGTGAGAAAGATGTATTCGCCCCGGAAGTCGCGGCGGTACATCCCTGGATCGTGCGGCATCTGCTTGAATCCGATTTCAAGCAGGATGTTGTGTAGATACTGCTGCCACAGCCTCGGCGCCTGCTTGATCCCGTAGAGTGACTTGCGCAGTTGGCACACGCGCGAGTCCCCTTCACCGTATGTATGCGGCTGCTCCACGTAAATCACGGCGTCTACTAGCGCGTATAAGAACGCGTTCTTGACGTCGATCTGGCGGAGAGGTAGGTGCCTTGCAGCTGCGATGGCGAGCAGGATTCGAACGGAGGTATGACGGCTGACTGGAGCAAACGTCTGGTCGAAGTCAATCCCGTGCCTCTGGTCGTAGCCGCGCACCACCCAGCGTGCCTTGAAGCGCTCGATCGTTCCGTCCGCTGCGGTCTTCACGCGGAAGACCCACTTGCCCGAGAGGATTCTTGCGCCTTTGATTGCCGCGCGGTCGACTAACACCCAGGTGTCTCGGGACTCGAGCGCTTTAATCTCTGCGTCCATTGCCTCGCGCCACTCCTTGCTGTGTGGTCCAAATAGAGCTTCACGCGGGTTTCGAGGCTCGATGACTCGTGGCGCTTTCGAGGTTGCAGTGTGAAACCCGAGTGTGAGGATCTGGTTCAGGAAAGATGATTCTATTGAATGATTCACCTGGGTACAAGGTGAGGCTATATATAGGCTCGACACAAAGGCAGTAACCCGGGTGTTACTAGAAGGTTCCGCGGGTCGCGAAGCGTCCCGAACGGGTCCTTCCCGAATTCGGTAGAAGGCAATTCGGTGGCAACCGAAAAGCCTAGAATTCGGTGCACTCAACCTAGTTCGGTGCCTACAACTATAATAATATAGTAAAAGCAACGAACCTAGGAAATCTAGCAAAAGCAAGCAAAATAAAGCAAAGCTAAGCTAGATAATGCATAGTAAAGCAGAATCAAGCTAGTAAAGCGTAGCAATGACGTCGTACTCTCACACGTCCCCCCCTCAAAGCTGGGTGGCGTGAGAAACACCCTGCTTGACAAGATAGTCCTTGAGAGCACGGCGTGCGTTGCCCATATCAGCTTCTGCAACCCAACTGTCCTCCGATGGGTCATATCCCTTCCAGCGTATCAGGAACTCGAGCGTGTTGCCGCGTCTGCGTCGATGAGCGAGAACTTTTTCCACCTCGTACTCTGGTTCATCCTGTATGAGAACAGGTGATGGTGGCGGTAGCTGGCGTCCCTGGAACTGTTGGTTGGGGTCCTTGTAGGGCTTTTGTAGCTGAACATGGAAAGCGTTGTGAAGCTTCCACGTAGTAGGTAAGCGCAAGCGGAATGTAACTGGTGTCATGATCGCCTCAACGCGAAAGGGACCACAGAAGCGAGGCCGGAGCTTGGACGGTAGGTGAGACAGGTTCAAGTTGTGCGTCTCAAGAAACACCTGATCTCCGGCTGCTATTGAGTGATCACGTCGCTGGCGATCGGCATACTGCTTCTGGGAGTTCTGCATCGTGGAAAGACGTCGCTGAGTCTTCTCCCATAACTGCTGCATGGTGGTGACGAAGTCGTGTGCGGCTTGGACGTGTGCCGGTGTGGTTGGCTGCTGTGGTGTAAGTGGTTCCCGTCCGTAGCACAGGAAGAATGGAGATTTCCCTGTGGCCGCATGCGACGCGTTATTGTAAGCGAACTCAAGTGTCGGTAACTGTGAATCCCAGTGGGGTGACGTCGTCTTTGCAAGCTGTGTGCAGTAACTGTTCAACCACCTGATTGAGTCGCTCTGTCTGTCCGTCAGTCTGGGGGTGGTATGCTGAAGACATCGCAAGCTTTGTCCCCAACAATCCCATAAGTTCCCTCCAGAACTTACTAGTGAACTTAGGGTCTCTGTCCGAGATAAGTGTAGCGGGGATGCCGTGGATGGTGATGATGCGGTCGAAGAAGAGGCGAGCAGTTGCTTCAGCAGTAGCCGTGGCATTGGTCGGGATGAAGTGTCCCATTTTAGAGAACTTATCGATCACCACGAGTATAGCGTCATGCCCTCGTGAGGTCGAAGAAAGTCCAGTCATGAAGTCTAGGCTGACAACTTGCCATGGCTGCTCCAGGACGGGTAGAGGCTGAAGTGACCCTGATTTTTTCTGCTTGCTATTCTTCATCCGCTGGCACGTGTCGCATGAAGTGACGAACTGCTGCACGTCTGTTGCCATCCGGGGCCAGTAATAATACTTTGCTATTCCCGCTAACGTCTTGTTGCTCCCGAAATGTCCCGCGTATGCCACATCGTGAAACTCCTCCAGTAAGATCTGTCGGAGCGGGGCATAGTTCGGTACCCAAATCTTTCCTGATCCCTTTCTTACAGCTAGGTCCTTCTCCCACTGTAACAGCTTCTGTTTCTCTGCTGTAGCGATCTCTGCGTCCACGGAGTACCCATGCTGGAATAGACCCTTGAGCAGAGGGTTCATCCCGTCGAGTTGGATGCCTGCTACATGACCGGGGCGGCTCAACACGTCAGCTTTGTTGTGTAGCCCGGGCTTGTAGACGATGTCGTAGTGGAAGTGGGTCTCCAAGAAGTCTACCCACCGCACCTGTCGTCGTGAGAGCGTCGGCTGCGACTTCAGGTATTTGAGGCTGCAGTGGTCAGTGTAAACTGTAGTCTTGGCTCCCTCTAGGTAACACCTCCACGCCTTGAAGGCTATGACTATCGCTAAGGCTTCCTTGTCATGGATAGGGTAGTTCAGTTCTGCTCCGTGTAGCTTCTTACTCATATAGGCGATGGGATGCAAACTGCGTCTGTGATTCTGCATCAGTACTGCTCCGACTGCCTGGTCACTAGCATCTGCTTCCACCACGTAGTCTCTGTCTGGATTCGGTAGGATGAGTACTGGGTGTTACCCGAGGCTATATATAGGCTCAACACAAAGGCAGTGACCTAGGTGTTACTAGAAGGTTCCGCGGGTCGCGAAGCGTCCCGAACGGGTCCTTCCCGAATTCGGTAGAAGGCAATTCGGTGGCAACCGAAAAGCCTAGAATTCGGTGCACTCAACCTAGTTCGGTGCCTACAACTATAATAATATAGTAAAAGCAACGAACCTAGGAAATCTAGCAAAAGCAAGCAAAATAAAGCAAAGCTAAGCTAGATAATGCATAGTAAAGCAGAATCAAGCTAGTAAAGCGTAGCAATGACGTCGTACTCTCACACCGAGTAGCTGCAGTCCTGAGACAGTGCAATCGTGGCGACGTTGCGGGATGACTTCCTGCACATCGTCGTCATCGCTCTCTGGTTCGGGTGGCGCTGGTGTTGTGCCTCTGCCGCTTCCGCCATTTCCGCCCATTCCTCCTCCTGAATCGTCGTCGTCGTCGTTGTTGCGCCGATCCTCCTATGTGAACTCGCCTCTTGTATCCTGCTC